CAGAGTTAACCTTTCTCCCAGTCTTGCTGGCATTCCCTCAGGCTGACAATAAACACATGACAAGTACAAAAGGTTGAGCAGAGCTGCAGGGGCTTCAGCCCACCCATGGCCAGCGTTCCCGAGTCCTGAACCCCGACCTGGGTGAAGCGTATCAACCACTGCCCTGAAGACACCTACATGGAGTCACCTGGCAACTGCCCAAACAAGAGCAGCACCTGGCTGTGACCAATTTCAAAGCCTAGGGCGCTCCTCTGCACTGCTGGTCCCCGCCATGACACTGTCCACAGGCATATACAATCTCAGAAAACACCTGCTGGGGCTCAGCACTCACATGAAGGAGCCACACAGTGAGAGGCGCAGGGGTTCCTGGGTCTCACCGGAACTGGTGAGTGCTGGTGAAGAACAGCAGCAAGGCTTTCATCACGCAAGTGTTCCAGTGTCAGCAGCCGGGCAGACCAGCCTGGAACAGCCACCTCTGGGAGGGGATCCCACAGGAAGGCTCAAAAAGCCAAACTCAGCTCCTGCCATATCAGTTAGCACCCGCATGCTGATGAGACGCTGGGCCATAAGGAGAATGGCAATGAAAGCAAAATGGAGAGGAAAACAGGCGAAAAATCCCTGAAGTGCACAACACAGCTGCTTTCACCGCATTCGTCTTCTGTGTAGTAAACTTCAACACGCCTCAGGGGCATTCTGCATCCTGTCTGAGCCACGGGCAGTCACCAACCAAAACTGCCCACGTCTGCACACTGGTTGCGCCAAAGACAGGAACTGGTTCAGGGCCAGAGAAGGCACCTGGAAAGGTAACCTCAGTCCCTGTCCACCACATCTGGCTTGCTGGTTGTGAATGAAGAACAGTAACAAAGACAGGCAGACAAGGGGTATTCCACAAATGGTGCAAAGAAGCTAATGTACAAGTTAGATATTCCTGGGGCTGGCACTGTGGCTCATTGCCTGCAGCCCTCTTAGGGTGGTGAGGGGTGAAGCAGCAGACGGAATCTCTCTTTCTCTGTCCCTCTCTCCGGGACTCCGCCTTTCAAATAAATTACTTTTTAAAGCTTTATCATACAGTTCCATAGGATAAGGAATACAGGGCACACACAGGGGCTTGTTCGGCACCAGGGCATGATCCGATCCCTAGCGTGTCAGGGAGTACCAATCTCACACCCAGCTGGTTCATAAGCTGTGCCACTTCCTTTAATAAGATAGAGAATGAAAGAAGGAGAGGAAGAATTAATCAATGATAATGGGAAAATTAGAAGGCCTATTCAAATACCAGAAAAACAATGCTAGCACAATTTATGGTTAGAAATCACACAACACAGGGTTGGTGCCACGGCCTAGCATGCTGTGCCTCCATTGGCAGTGCTAGCATCACACACGGGTGCCAGTTCAAGCCCCAGATGCTCACTTCCAATCCAGCTCTCTGGGATAACCTGAAAAAGCAGTAGAGACTAGTTCAAGTCCTTGGGCCCCTGTATCCACATGGGAATCTAGAAGAAGTTCCAGGCTCCTGGCTTCAAATTACTCCAGTTCCAGGTATTGCAAACATGTGGGGAGTAAACCAGCAGATTGAAGTTTTGGGTTTTTTTTTTCTTAAGATTTATTTGTATTTATTGGAAAGGTAGATTTTACAGAAAGCAGGAGACACAGAGAGGAAGAGCTTCTGTCCATTGATTCACTCCCTGAGTGGATGAAACAGCTGGAGCTGAGCCAATCCAAAGCCAGGGGCCTGGAGCCTCTTCCAAGTTTCCCACGCAGGTGCAGGATCCCAAAGCTTTGGACGCAGCATCCCAAGGCTTTGGGCTGCTTTCCCAGCCCACAAGCAGGGAACCGGATGGGAAGTGGGGCTGCTGGGTTTGGCCCATAGGGGATTCTGGCGCTTACAAGGTGAGGACTTAGCCTCTAGGCTACCACACTGGACCCACAGATGGAAGACCTAGCTCTGTCTCTCCTTCCCTCTGTTACTCTCCCTTTCAATTTAAATAAATATTTTTTAAAATGTAAAGGATCTAATTAGACATTGAAAAGAAAACAAATAAATGGTCAACAGACTTTAAAAACTTTAATAATGATATAAACTCAAAATAAAAGCATGTTAGCAATGTTGAGTAATCTATCAACTTGGAATTTTTTTCTTAGTGCAGTACACAAAACTGTCAAGGAAATAAATACATAAATGATTGAGTAAGAAGACAAACTTGCCCAGTTCTTTTGAAGAACAATTTAGCGCCGCCTCCCCCCCACCACCATTCTCCCTCTTCTTATTTGAAAGACAAAGAGAGATGGAGAGAAATCTCCCCTCTGTTGGTTCGTTCTCCGAATGCTCACATTAGCCAGCGATGGGCTGGCCAGCGTGAAAGCACAAGCCAGGAGCTCCATCAAGAATTCCCGTCTGGCTGGCAGAAAACCAAGTATCCGAGTCATCACCTCACTGAGGGCAGGGCAGCACGAAGGTGGACCAGAAGCCACTCGGTGGGCCATCAACCGGCCCTTCGCAAAGGAGATGCAGGCTTTCCAAACGGAGGCCTCAGGGCCGTCTCAAAGGCAATCCTCCAATTCTGCCTTTCACCAGGTATACTTCCAGGGATAGACACAAAGAAGTGTCCAAATGCAGAAGGTGGAGACAACAGCTGTAGTACACCACAAGTGGAAATCAACTGCTCAGTTGCACAGACCACAACCATTAAACCTGAATCAAGACTATTTAAAGCTACAAATAAACACTAAACCACAGAAAATTTCAAGCAAACGAGGATTCAAGAACTACTCACAATTTTATAGGAAAGCCACGTGTATGCACAGAAGCCTGGGGGAAGACTAGAAAGGACCAAAGAATCAGCAGGTTGCCTGAATAGCAGAAATCAACTTCAGAATAACAAACACACGGCCAAACCACAGAAACACACCTTCCTGTCCTTGTAAATTCTGTGCAGAAATCAAAAATGAAACCCACATCAGCTAGCAGCAGGTAATGTTCACCCCAAATCCACACTAGGCAATGAACACAGTCCCAGGGGCAAGACGGTAAGCCAGCAGTTACCGGCATCACGTGGGCAGGTGTGGTCAAACTGTGACACCGAAAAGAAAAGCAAACATCAGGCAAGATGAAACGTGGGTTCTGCTGTACAAGGTGGGCCTTGTCTGCAGGCAGCCAGTTCCTGGCTTATATTAGGCACACGGCTTTCATCAAAAAGATTCACACTCCGAAATGCTTTGGGCTGCTGAAGTCTGGGCACCAAGGTCCAGAGCTGCCTTCACAAAGCCAGGGAATGGCAGGCCAACAGGAGGAGCGATGCTCCATCCTCAAGCTCCCGTCAGCACCATTCCCTGTACCGATCTGCAGTGGGTGCCGAATAAGGTGCCACTCCAGCACGTTTCCAGGTGATGAGGATGCAGCCCGGTCAACGCTGAGAGCCACAGGCTGATCACTGCCACCCTAAAGCCCGCACTAGACCGGCTCCCAATCACAGGTGCCTGAGGGACAGGAGAGCACTACAAAAAGCTCAACTCTTGAAAGCTGCTCAGTTTGGAACCCAGATCCGGAGTCACACCACCCGGGCTGGGATCCTGCAGAACTACTGCCACCCCAGGCCACCTAACCAGCGGGTTCCACCTTGGGAGTCCTCCGGCCCAAAAGGAACCCTTCCCCCTCCAACAGAGAAAACCAAAACAGGCGCCCACCCAAATCCCATTCTTTCCAATTCCTGGCCCTTTTACCAAATCCCAAACTGCAAGTGGCCTGGGAACTGCCCGTCCCACCCGCCCCGCCTGAAGCCACACCCTTATTCCTTCCGCCCCAACTCCTCTCTTCTTTCAGTGCCACCAGAGTGCCAAGAAAGCTCCCCGCTCACAATGAAGGCCCCTCAATTAAAACACAAAGAGGAGATGACTCATTCTCTTGGGATTCCCTAGGCTTTTCCATTAAAAACGGAAGTATCAGAATACATGGTGAAGAGAGAAAAGGAGACCAGGAAACATAAGATCTAACCCTCAATCAAGTGTGATGGAAGTCCAGGGTTTGGAACCACCTGGGCAGTTAGGTGGTCCAGGCCAGTGGCAAAAGCTCTTCCGGGCTTCCTGCACCTGTGTGACCTGTGTGGCCCGCCTCAGTTCAATGGCCCTCCAGTGGCTTCAGAACAGGAGGGCTGTTGGTCAGTCAATTACCAAGGATCCCGGGGAACCCCACCACCACCACCACCCACGGCAGTCCTACAAGGTGAAGTGAAGATACTTTCAACAGGTAACAGTAGATTCCAGCCCAGCTCCGCGGGGAGGGGGGTGCCAGCCAAAAGCACAGCGTGAAAGTCGATCTGATCCAAATATCAGCATCCCCACTCATACACAGAAAACCATGATGTATTTTTTCACCCACGTGAAATTTGCCATCACTGGATCCCACCCCACAGACAGCAAGTGAGAGACCCACGCGGGGAGAAGCAGAGGAACAACGGTCACAAGCCAGACAGACACCTGGTTACACTAGTGATGGGAGCCCAGGGCGGCTGGACTCGGCAGGGGCATGGGAACGGGTGGGAACAGGACCTGGAGGTGGCACTAGTCCAGGCGGCTAATTGGGTTTCGACTGAGATGAGATAAAGGAAGCCGTTCTCAGGCGGCTTATTTAGAAAGGGAAAAGAAAAAAAAAAAAAAAAGGCGCCGCTCGGGGTCAGCAGAATGGCGAGTCCCTGAGCAATAAGTGGGAGTATGGGGGGGTCCCTGTTTTCGCCGACCGGCACGAGTCCCCCTAGGTCAGCCTCAATGTGACCTCCTCTTCTCTCCGTCAACACCACAGGCTGGCGCGGCCCCGAGCCGCCAGCGGGGGGGACCCTGCGCGCCGCCGCCAGGGCCGGGTCCCCGCAGCCCGCGCCCCGGTGCTCACCCGGGCGCAGGCGGGGCGCAGGCGGCCGCCGGGGCGCGCTCGGGCGCGGGGAGCGCGGCGCGCAGGGCAGGGCCCCTGGGTCTGCGGGGAACGGCGGCGGCGGTAAGGGGGTGCTCACCAGAAGAACACGCGCGAGCAGAGGTTGGCGTCCTGCAGCGGGTTGGGCTTCACCTCCGGGTGCACCGGCAGCATCGTGCCGGGTGCGGGCGGGCGCGGCCGCGGGGCCGCAGTCGCGCTTGCTGCTGGTGGCGCCGGTGCGGATGCTAGCGAGGGCGGCCGCGCTGGTCCGCTCGGCGGGAGCTCGGGGACTAGGGAACCAGCTGCTTCCGGGAGCGGGGCGCGGGCGGCACGCCCCGTCCCCGCCTCCCGAGCCGCCTCGGGGCGCCCGCTACGCCGCCGCCGCCGCCGCCGCCGCCGCCTGGAGCCAAGCAACCGCGCGTCGTCGCGTGCGAGCGCGGCCGGGGGCGGTGAGGTGACGCGGCGGCCTGAGGCGGCGGCGAGACCCAGGCTGCGGGCAGTGAGGGCCGCGGGCCCCGAGGCTGGACCACGCGGCGCCGGGGGCCCCCCTCGCACGGGCGCCCACGTGCTCGGACCCGGCTGCGAACTTTGCCGAAGTTGGAGATGAGTGGCGAGGCACCGACTCGGAGGGTGGAGGGTGAGGGGGTGAGGGACGGCGCCGGCGATGCCCGCCCCTGCTGCTGCTCGGAAGCGCCCCCTGGGCCGTGCAGGTTTCCGAAGACTCCCGAGAAAGCTGCCAGGTGGCCGGAGCAGCCGGCTCCTTGGACGCACCGCCTTGGTCAGGACCAAACAAGGACGCCCTGGGAGCGTCTCCAAAGCACCGGCCCAGCGGGCGCTTGACCTCGGAGGCAGCAGAGTTTAGCACACGCCGTCTCGTGTTGCTGCAAGACTTGGAGTCAGCAGGTTACTGGCAGTTGAGGCAGAGGAATGAATGCTTTCAGCGAAGCCCAGGCTTCTAGCACCTAGCCGTTGTGCAGAGCTGGGGACCACGATGAGCTGCTGCTACCCCGCTAGGACTTGCAAAGGGAAGCCTGAAGAGACAGCTTCCTGAGGTCTCTCTTCAGTCGTGCCCTGGGAGCCCAGTACAGAGTCTGTGTCAAAAGGTTCCCACGAATACAGGTTATGCACAATTTTGTGTGTTTCTTTCCTCCCTAAAACTAGCAATGCCCTATTTTAGAAAATTCTCGCATATTACAAAAGTAGATGAGACCCAAACAGAACTCAGGGTCAGTAGGCATGGGCAGACTCGTGAGGCACCATGAACAAAATCTTGTTCTAAGTTCTTTGACCCCAACACCCATTGGAGGCCATCTCAGAAAGTGCTCGCAGGAACAGACTTTGGGCCTGATGGTCAAGGGGGTTCATATTCCACCTCGGGGTGCATGGGTTTTCTTGCCAGGTCAGCTTCTGACTTCAGCTTGGTGTTAGTGCAGACAGTAGGAGGTTCGAGTTCTTGAGTTCCTGCCACTATCCGCTTGGAAAACCTGGACTGAGTTCCCAGAAGCCTCGCAGATACCTGGGGAGTGAACTAACAAAGCCGTGTGCACTTTTTCGATCTCTGAAAGAACTTTTTAGAAAAGGTCATGAAAGATGAATTCAAAGGTTTGCTTTGGTGCAAATGTTTTTTAAAATCCATCAGTTTTCATGGTATGCATTCTCCATCAACTTTTTGAAGACTCCCTCTGATGCGTGTCACAAAATGTTTTGCACCAAAATAAAATTGTGTTATTTGAGTTAGTTTTTAGTTTAATTTTCCACCGACTTGCTGAAGTACCCTCCAGGTCTGCAGCTGCTTGCCCATCTCCCAAGCTCCTCAGCATCTCTTCAATTCAATCCTGGATGAAGAGGGAGTAAGGTTATGAATTCATGGTGCTTGTAACGAGATCATTTGCTTAGACCATGAGCATTTTCTACATGCATTTTCTTAAAAAGGGCCTTGTGAGTAATGGCTTTTTATCTTATTTTTTTGAGAGACACAAGCAGTTCCTATCTGCTGGCTTACCCCTCAAATGCCTAAAGTGGCTGGGGCTGACCCAGGTCAAATCTAGGAGCCAGAAAGCCAATCCAGGTCTCCATGGAAATGGCAAGACCCCAGCCCTACTGCCCTCACTGCTGTACAGCAGGCACCCTGGAAGCAGGCATCCAATCCATGCCCTCTGAGTGGGACATGTACATCTCATTTGCTAGGCCTGTGCCCAACCCAATGCTGGCTTTTAGCATAATAATGGCAAAATACCCACTTCTTTGGCCAAAAAAGAAAAAAATAGATAGATAGATTTGTTTATTTTTATTGGAAAATCAGATTTACAGGGAAGAGAGACAGAAAGATCTTCTATCTCCTGGTTCACTCCCCCAAATGGCTATAACAGCCAGAGATGAGTCAATCCAGAGCCAGAAACCAGGAGCTTCTTCTGGGTCTCCCATGTGGATTCAGGGTCCCAAGTCTTTGGGGCATCCTCAACTGCTTTCCCAGGTCACAAGCAGGGAGCTGAATCAGAAGAGGAGCAACTGGGACACAAACCGGTGCCGATATGGGATCCCAGAGCTTGTAAGGGGGTGGGGAGATGACTGGCTAATTGAGCCGTCACACTGGGCCTATAATGGAGTTTTATTGTACTGTTTGCTTGAAATCGCATGCAGTGTTTGAGAATTTCTATCACAAGGGGAAGACAGTGTTTTAATTTGAATGTTCTAAGAAAACAGTGGTCCTTCCATGAGCTGCAGTCCCATGTTGGCTGTTCTCAGATGGTATAATTTGCTCACCACATAGGCAGCCTCCATCTGATTAACTGTGCTCTTTCAAATTCCCCTGACTTCCTAGCCTGCGAAGTACTCGACTAGCAGTTGCACTTCAAACTCAAGTTTGTTTGCCAAACTTAAAGATTTCCCTGTCAGCCTGTTTCAGACTGCTCCCTGCTCCCCACACCTGTGTCAGCACCGTAATTAGATGTCTAGTTGCTGCCAACCACTCCGTTCTTTCAGCTCCCACTGAGCTGGGATCTTTTTATTATTTTAACTAAGATCTTGTAAAACTTGATATTCTCTTCTGAACATTAATGTGGCATTTTTAAACAATACTGAGAAACCTTGTCTGATTATAGGGAGGGCACTGGATCAGGAGACAGGGACTGACTAGATTCTGCTTGTCTTCCAACCCTTATTTTGTCAGATCTAAAGGGGGACTTGGAACTCTCCCTCTTTCATATCAACCAGTAATTGTGAGCCTCACCATTTGTGATCACACTGTTAAGACTATAAATGAATAGTATCCCACCCACTTTTATTCAACAAATGTTCAGTAAATGCCTTTGGAGTCTATGACAACTAGACCAGGCACTGAGTATGCCATCTGTCTGACAACATTCATTGATTCAGTTCTCTAAGCTAAAAGACTGATAGTAAAAAGCATTGAGGAGAGTGCAAAAAAAAAAAAAAAAACCACACATCGGAGCCCTGTACAACATGGGCAAAAATGTGAAATGGTTTAACCACAGTGAAAAAGTCTGCAAGTTCTTTTAATAATTAAGAGCATCCCATGATTCGGCATCCAGTTCCTCGGGATATGCCTAAGAGAAACAAAAACTTGTGACCACACAAAAACTTACCCATAAATGTTATAACAGGACTGTTTATAAAGAAGAAGAAGAAAAATACGCATCTCCATCAGATAAATGGTAACTAAATGTGATGATGTAACCAAGTCACAGGATATTATTCTACATCTCACAGACAGGGATGAAACATTTGTTAGTTTACAACATGAGTGATTAATGGGAACAGTATACTAAGTAAAAACTTGTCATAGGATATTGTATGACATATGGTTCCATGCACAGGAAGTTTCTGGAACAGTTACAAAGAAAAAGTAGATTTCTGTTTGCCTAGGGAAAGAATGGCTGCTCATGGATTAATGGATCCTTCTGAAGGTGATGGAAATGTTCTAGCATTAGGTTGTTGGGATGGTTACTAAACTGTGGATGTGCTGAACAAAATTCAAAGAAAACTGAATTGTATGATATGTAAGTTTTACCTCTAAAGCTGTTTCAATGCCTTAAAGGTTCAATCAATTTGTATACTTGTATCATATCTACTGTGTAAGTTAGGCAGATAAATAATCATGAATTTTGCCTCTAGTTGCTTTCGGTGTGGAATGTCTAATTCACTTCGTCTGTGTTGGAGCCTGGAGATGGGTCATTTTTAAAGTAATGCTTCTAGGTGATTTCTCACGAGCAGCCAAGGTTAAGGAAGCACTGATTATGTAGAGATAGTTGTGTATACACAATAACCATCACATTGTATATGTATTATAAATGGAAACATGACATGCTAAAGAGCACGGAGAAGGAAGTGGGCCTACTCAGAGAGGCAGTGATCCATGTTAGGAGAAACGTCACCTAAAATAGGGATGGAGGAGTACGTGGATCAGAGGTAGCCATGGCTCAAGAAAGACAAGGATGTGGCCTCACGCAGAGGGAAAGGGACTGTAAGACACTGTAAGATGATGTCACCATTTTGATAAGAATGACTTGCTTATGGAGCAGATAGCCTAGTTGGTAACGTGCTTGTATGCCAGCTCAGAGTATCTGAGTTCAACACCCAGCTGTGGCTCCAGCTGCTTGGCAAGGCAGATTCTGGGAGGCAGCTGTGATGCCTCAGATAGCTGGACTCCTGTCACCACATGGAGGATCTGGATTGAGTCCCAGCTCCCACCCATACACAGCCAGTAATTGGGAGCTATCTCTGTCTCTCTTACACTCTTGTTTTCTCTGAATAAATTGTATTTTTTAGTATATGTACTGCCGAAGCGAGCACATGAATAAATTGTATTTTAAAAGAAACAGATTGTTTGAAAGTATTATCATTGTTGATCTTGGAAGGACTGCTCATGGGTTGGGCTAAAACTGGGGAACCACACTAAAGAGATGGAGCTGTATCAGTTCAGGGAGCCATGGAAAGCTTCTGTTTCTGAGATGAAACCAACCTTACAGAGCCAGCCTTGTGACACTGCAGGTGAAGCTGCTTCTTGCAATGCCTGCATCCTTTTCTGATCCAACTTCCAGCAGGTGACCATGTCAGAGACCAGGATGAAGATCCTGGCTCCTGGCTTCAGCCTGGTCTAGGCCTGGCTGTTGTAGAAGTCAGTGGGTAGTCAGAAGAGCCCTCTCACTCTTGCTGTCATCTCTCTCCTCCTTTCACCTTCTGTTGCTCTATCTTTCAAATCAACAA